AAACTAAAAATTCCAAAAATCCTAGATTAACTTATAGGTCTAGATTAATTTACAAAAGTACTACTAACTTTTAAATAACAATTAACACACACAATCAAATAAAATCACATAACTTGAACATGAAATACTAAAAATGCAAAAAATACATTATTTTGTGATTTTTCTCTTAAAAACAAAATATGATTCAATTAATTTCTAAGTGCACAATTAAATCTTAAATGTGCATGCAACATATATTTTTGTATTTTTAATTACTTAAAACAAACCAAACATTCACAGACAAAAATAATTATCCAAAATGTCACGCAAAGTTCTCAAAATTGTACCCAAAGACAATTTGTTTTATTTTTCAATTTCTTTGGGAGTAGTTTTCGTGAAGCAAAAATCACGTGCTCACAAATACATGTAATGTTTCCTTCCCTTTTTGACTGTACATGTAATATTTCTGCTTCTGTTAACAATCAATTCCCTTTAGTCCCTCTTGTATTCCATCTATTGGAATAAACAAAGCAGACTTATTTTTGAACCAAAGGTTGGGGCATATGCCTTTTCACAGAATGAAATTAAAATCCTTTTCTTTCTAATAAAATTTCTTCTAAGCAATCATTTTTATATCCTATTTGCTCTATGGCCAGGCAACAAAAATTGCCTTTTAATGATAGTTCTACTCATTCTTTGGCACCTTTTCAATTAGTACATATTGACATTTGAGGGCCCTACCACACCAATACACATAATAGATTCAAATACTTCTTAACCTTAGTAGATGTTTATACTAGAGTAACATGGACTCATATACTTTCATGTAAAGGAAATGATTTATCTATTGTTAAGGCTTTCACCTTCATGATTAAGACTCACTTTCATACATCAGTTCAAACCTTTAGATCTAATAATGCCCTTAAACTTGGGAGCGAATCTAAAGCAAAATCTTTTTTTGCTTCCCAAGGTATCCTACACCAAACCATTATTCCCCACACTCCTCAATAAAATGGTGTTGTTGAAAGAAAACATAAACATTTGCTTGAAACTTCTAGGGCCTTACTATTCTATTCTAATCTACCTACAAAATTCTAGGGTGATTGTATCCTTACTGCCACATATCTCATAAATAGATTCCCTTCCACTATTTTGAATAACATTTCACCCTATGAGAAATTGCATGGTCATTCTCCATCATATGACCATCTTAAGTCTTTTGGTTGTCTATGTTATGCAACTTCTCCTAAGATTGCTAGGGACAAATTCTAGGGCAATCTCCTGCCTGTTTCTTGGGTATACTTGTGGCAAGAAAGGTTATAAGTTGCTCAATTTATCCAATTCCTCAATTTTTTACTCCAGGGATGTTGTGTTTCATGAGCACATCTTCCCTTATTCTTCCTCTTCTCAATCCTCCTCAACTCTTCAACCCCCTCTTTTGATTTTGTCTCTATTTATACTCCTCCCTCACCTCCTTTACCCTCCCTGCCCAACCCTCAGCCTACTCCTCAGTCCCTTTCTTTATCTCCCTCTACTTCATCTCTTGCCCCTTCTCAGTTACCTGATTCGTCACCTCCTACCCCTTCCCCCACCCTTCTACTCCTTCACCTCTTATTCCAACTCCATCTCCCAGGCATTCTGCCAGAACTTGTCACCCTCCTACCTACTTTAAGGACTATGTTTGCTTTTTTATTATTCCTTCTGCCCCTACTTCTGATATTCCACAACTTTTCACTGCTGATTTGCACTCACATGAGCCTCAGTTTTTTCATCATGCTACTTCCTCTCCTGCTTTACAAGAGATCATGGTTAAGGAATTTCAGGCTCTTGAAGCCAATCATACTTGGGACATTGTTTGTTGTTCCCAAACGCACATGCAAGTATACGTGATCGACAAGTAATATAGGATTGTAAGTCCAGATATCGTACCCACAGGGACTTGTGATTAACTATCAACTAAATTAAACCAAGCAATTAATCTATTCAAGCAAATCTTAAAGTATGAATATTTAGCTAAAACAAATCTAAAGTAACAAACTAAGAGATTAAAGAAAATAAGTTGGCAAATTATAGAGACGAATTCAATGTGAGTGAATATTCTAGAGCTATGGGTTAGCTAACAATCCCGTTGAGTTTTCCGCTTAAATCGTCTAATTAATTTATCTGGTTTATTGGTTGACAGGGTTAATATTGCTCGTAGCCTTCCCCCGAAGTACAACTCGCCTATTCAAGCTAATCTAACGCCTATATTCTTATGGAATTAGAATTAACAAGAACACATTAATAATTCCTGTATAGTAACCAAGCAAGGCGATTAAGTATATTCCTATCCTAACCACAAATCCGCCCCCCTCAGAGTTAAGATTTTTCTCTACTCAATCTTATATGCAATCTAGAATTCCCTCTCCCGAGTTCAATCCTAGATTCGTAGATAGTATTCAATTGGTGATCAAGCAATCAAATAATTAAGCGCAAGATTGAATAAATAAACCAATATGATAACATAATAAGAACAATTCAAGCTTCAAACTACAACGTTCATGTAGCACCCAAAACTCTAGAATAAATAAACTATGAGATTAAAGAAAGAGAAGAGAAGAAAAACTAGTTAGAAACCTCCTCCAAGCGTGCTGTGTGTTCTTCCACGTGAATTCCCCTTCAAAGTGTGTTAGATATCTCCAGAAGGCGTCCCCTCCTTCAAAAATATGCTTAGTCTTGCTTTTATACGTGTTGGGTAGGTCTAAGACCGAATAAACTGTGTCCCGGGCAAAATAGGATAAAATCACGTCACCGGTGCCCTGGGTAGTGCCAGACGCCCACCAACTACTGCCTCCAGTGCCACAGGTGGCCCAAGGCGCTGCATGTGACGCGCAAATTCGCAAGTTTTGCAGTTTCATTCGTTTTGGCTCTAATTTTACACGTTTCTCCCCCAATTGTTTTCGAATCATTCCTACACATAAAAACACTTCAAATTAATATAAATTATCGCATTTAACATCCCAAATTCACGAAACAAAAGTAAGATATGAGGCGATATACAAATATATATACTTTAAGCAAACATCATTGTTACATCGCCCCCGAACAAGGAACTCATTTCTTGTAAATGGGTATATAAGATAAAACATAAATCTGATGAAACAATTGAGATATACAAGGATAGGTTAATCATTAGAGGTGACACACAAAAAGAGGGTATAAATTATACTGAAACCTTTTCTCCTGTTGTTAAATTTACTGCCATTAAATGTCTTCTTTCCCTTGCTGCCAAAAGACAGTGGAATATGTATCAATTGGATGTACACAATGCATTTCTTCATGGGGATCTCCATGAAGACGTGTATATGAAGATCTCCCCAGGTCTACAAGTTTCTCTTCCATGTTCTTCTTCCACTCTTCCTTTGATTTGCAAACTCAAAAAATCCCTATATGGTCTTAAGCAAGCCTCAAGAGAGTGGTTTTCCAAACTGTCTGAAACCTTGTCCACCAAAGGCTACATTTCTAGCAAAAATGACTACTCTCTCTTACCAAATCTGCTGGGGGCCACTCACTATATTGGCTATTTATGTTGATGATATTCTCTTAGCTGGGGATGATATTTTTGAGCCGGATAGAGTGAATGCTTTCTTGGATGATCAATTCATGATAAAGTATTTGGGCACCATTCACTATATTTTGGGTTTGGAGGTTTCTCACACTTCCTAGGGACAGAGTAAGTTCACCACTGATTTACTCTTTGAATTCAACTGCCCGAACTTCAATTTTGTTACTACACCCCTGGATTCTTCTCTTAAGCTCACTGCTGACATGAGAGAGGCTCTTTCTGACCCTAGTGGTCATAGGAGAATTATTGGGAAGCTTAATATTCTTCAGCATACTAGGTTAGACATTACTTTTTCAGTCCAACACCTAAGTCTTTTCTTGCAGGCTCCTCAGATTCCTCACATGATGGTTGTCCTCCATGTTTTGAGGTATTTGTTCGATGCTCCAGATCTGGGCATGCTTCTGCCTTGTTCTTCTAATTTGGATCTCAAGATTTTCTCTGATTCTGACTGGGCAGCTTGTGCTCAGTCTAGGAGATATGTTTCTGGGTACTACATTACTTTTGGTGGTTGTCCTATTTCCTTGAAAAGCAAAACAAGCCAACTATTTCTTTGTCTTCTGCTGAGACAGAATATCGAGCCTTAAGGAAAGTTGTTCTGAGATCTCTTGGTTAGTCAGAATTTTGGGTGATCTTGGTTTGTCTATCACCAACCATTTCCCTATTTTTTGCGACAGTCAGGCTGCTTTGCATATTGCCAAAAACCCTGTGTTTTATGAACGCACTAAACACATTGAAATAGATTGTCATTATGTTTGGGACAACCTTCAAGCTGGTTTAATCTCTCTTCATTTTGTCCCAAGTTCTGCTCAACTGGCAGATATCATGACCGAGGCCCTTCTTGGATATCTCCACCATTTGATTTCTTGGCAAGCTTAATGTTGCAGCACCCTCAAGCTTGAGGGGGTTGTTAGCCATATTGAGCAATAACCCATCAGTCGGTTGAAGGCCCAAGTAGTCAAGCCCAACTTGTAACTCATTTTATATTTCATACTTTAGCCAAGTTACATTACTTAGATATCTATTGTATCATTACATAGATAGTCATCTCAAGCGTAACTATATAAACAAAGAAGTGTTGAATAATAAAGTTGGATAGTCATTTCATTTTGTTTTCACATAATATTTCTCTCTATACTTCCAGTTTCTTCTCTTCTCTCATACGAGGGGTGGGTGGGGTTTTCCTTCAATGGAAAGCCCACCATAACTGGGTTGATCTTGTATCATAATAAGTTTGGCCTTTTAAACACTGGATTTGATTAGTGTTTATGATTTCTGAAATTAGTTAAGTTCATTAGTTAAGTTCATGAGAATACCAAAAGAATCACATCATACATAAACAATTAAAGATTTCTTTGTATGTACAAAGAATACTACTCATGTGAATCTTATGATTAGAATTAATCTTATTAGGACTCAAAAACATAATATTCCTTTTTATTATGTGTTGTATTATGTACACCTACTACAAATCCCCTAAAAGAATATTAATATACACTACTTAAAAGTGATCTATAGAAATAATGAAAACAAGAGAGGTTAATTTATTCTTGAAAACTTTCTCCTGGGCAATGTGGTGAGACAGTTCCAATAATATTGCTGAATTCGACATTACTGCAAACAGCCTTTGCAGTTCCACCTTCCCCTACCAAGTTTATATTCTGCATTACAATTCCTTCGCATGGAAAGCTTTTGCTGCAATTAAAATTTATGGCCACATTCGTCGCACTTGAACCTATGATGTTCTCATAGACAATATTTTTCACTTGAACTGCCAAACTCTGAGACAAGTGACAAATATAAAAACAGTTTACTTTTTGAGCATGATCAAAAGGTAAACTTTTTAGACTATCAGGTTATTTGAAAAATAATAACTACAAATAACTAACTATATGACGATTTTGTAACCTACTATACTACAATGGGTTATTAATCAACTATAGAGGTAGGAAGGAATATATTTGATAATCAAAAAACAAATTTTTTTCGCTTTTATATACCCACCATCTTGTTAAAAGATCTCTCCCCACCCCCTTTTTATTTTTGTTTTTCAAAAAAAAAAAAAAAACCTTTTCCTACTTTCCTTCTTAAATTAATACTCCCTCCCATCCATATAAGTGACTTTTTGGCCTTTGGCTCACCCCTTAAGAAAATGCTAACTCCTAGAGAAAAAAAAAGTATTTTGATTAAATTACCCTTAATTAAAATTTGCATATTGTTAACTTGACACATTAAGATATGTAAATAAGGGCAAATTTTGAAGAAAAAAAAGTTAATTCCTTCTTGATTGTGTAAAAGGACACTTATTGTAGATCAAAATAAAGAAGCCAAAAAGTCATTTATTATATATGGACGGATGAAAGTAAAAAAATTCTTACCTGTTGTTTGCATGGATCATGTTGATCACAATAATTCTGGTCTATGATTATGGGTTCTTTACTCCTTGCATTTCCACATTTTGAAATATGATGTTGCTCGCATTTCCAGATCCTCCCTGCATACACCACATTATTTATAATGTTTTTAAAAAAATATGTATTTAAACTAGCTCTCTGATAACTCAAGATCTTCAATTCAAATTCACCTAGTAATTGGAGTACTAATTAATTATATTTTCTCCTTGTAGTTTTGAATCTAAAGTAGATGAAGAGAAGGCATACCTGCCAAGTCTTGATCCTAAGTCCATTAGTAGTACCAGAAAGCTTGGCTCCACTCACAATAACATCAGACACATGAGCTTCTGAATTCCCTGATCCTAAGCTCCCAATACTAACCGAATCAACCCGACCGGCCCAAGAGAATAAAATAAATTAAAGAAGAGCGAATTAGACAAAATATTATAGGTACTATATATTGTTTTCCTCTGATATATTAGTGAGAAATTATGAAGTTATAAATAAAGGAATTATAAATTCTCCCCCAACATCCCAAGATATGAATAAAGAAAACAAAATGTTACAAGGGGCAGGGAAAGGGGCATGGTAGTTAAATTTTCAAGTACCTATCAATAAAAGTACTACTACGAAAAGTTGAATTTTATTCTTTTTTTTTTTTAAGTGTAGAAAAAGTAATTTCTTAAATAGCTGATACCATGACCTGGACCACAAGTAATATCCGTGGCCTGCACCTTTTGGGATCCACTCGCAATTGAAATACAATCATCACCTATCCAACAAAATATATCATTTTTCCAAAGTAGTAATTTCTATTTGTTTTCGTAAAAGACAAAATAAAAACAATAATCATTGGTAATTAATTTTATTAAAAATTAAATAACCTGTTCCAATGGCAGTGTCAGAAATTTGGATGTTTTGAGTATTTGCAACATGGATTCCATCAGTGTTAGGGCTATTTTCAGGAGCAGTCACCATCAAATTTGAAGTTTCAACATTTGTGCATCTCTCAAATGAGACATGAATTTGTTGTGCATCTTTAATCTTAAGGTTCTTCACTTTCAAATTCTTGCAATTGTAGAAGGTTAACGCCTGTGCATAAACTCTTTTAGCTTTAAATTAACTAGATAGATATTCAAGCTATACAAAAAAAAGGCATCCTGGTGCAAAAGATTTCTCACATTCACACAGGATCCGGGAAAGTGTCGAACCCCAAGGAATGTGATGTAGACAGCCTAACCTAATGCTAGCATTAGTGGCTGCTTCCACCGCTCGAACCTGTGAACTATAGGCCATACGGAGATAACTTTACCGTTACTCCAAGGGTCCGACGATTCTAATATCAAATGTAACATACCGTTGGTGCATTCTTGCATGGCTGCATATGGAGAAAAAGTAACAATCAGTATTACTATAAGGCAACTGATGATTTTCTAAAGTGGAAAAGTAGCTCTGAAAATTAGTATAAGATAAAAATAAGCAAGGTTAATTACCAGTGATATATTGGTTTTGCAAGAATTTTGCCACCATATTTTTCCATTGCCATTGATAACTCCTCCTCCTCCAACAACCAAGTTTTGAACATTATTAAAAAGAATCCAATGCCTTCTATCTTTACTATAGTCCGATATATTATCTGATGCTTCTAAAGATCCAAAAATCTGCACAATAATTTGTAAGAAAATAAAGAGAAGAAACTACCAACAAACTAAATTCCTATGATAAAGACGCTTTTTCTTTTCCAGTTTTAATAATAAGTAACCAATATGTATTCTGACCTGCATTGAAATGGAAGATTTGCGTGGACCTGAAAAAGTGATTTGTTTGAGAAGATAATTCTTGTTGTGGAGCACCACAAAGAGCACAGGTGTGTTAGATGAACATGCTTCTTTCCAAGCTTTCTCAAATGCCTGGAATTAAGATCATTTCACACGATAAGAAATTAACAATACCACATGCAACAGTGGTAAACACTTCCGAGTGCGTTGGTACCATGGAAGTCTTTTTTCGTATTTGGGGGTGAATGAAAAATATTTTTCGTAAAAAGTATATATTAGAAAATAATAATAATATTTGAATTAGGCAGTGTTTTGATGAAATTGTTGAGCATTAATGATTAATAATAACTTTTAAATATTAATTAGCTGAAGCAAATAATATGAAGTTTAAAGTGAGGATAAGGTTAAATGACTTCAGCCCAAAGGCAGACCTATGTTATACCAAGAGGGGTTACCGGCACCCTAAAGTTCGGCAAAAATTTCATGTATACATGTATATGTTTTTAGAGAATAATGATATACTAACAACAACACCTTATATACAAAACAGATTTTGGTTGAATTCAAAAGTGCAGCCGTGATCTTCAAATTCTGGATCCGCCTCTGCTTCCACCCATAAGTGAGGGAAGTCTCTTTTAGCTTTCGTTCATTTTGATGAATTTTTTTTTCCTTGTAACCAAATATCAGAAAATGACTTTTTCAAAAAGAAAAACTTCGCTGAAATAACTTCCATCATATCAAACACACGGTGGACTTACATACCCAATCTTAATTTAGCCATTAATCCCCATATGTACTCCAATTATATTTTAAGATACTTACCGTAGTATCATCTGTAACTCCATCACCCTTAGCTCCAAATCTACTTACATCAATAAATGCAACCCTATTGGCAACTTCTTCAATATTCATGTTGTCGTCTTCAGTAATGGTGCTCAAATAAGAAGGGTAAGCTTGAAAGTCATGACCGAATTCTTGTTCTACATTCATTTTGTGATCAGCTGACATGAAAAAATCATCATTTTCATGATCCTCAATATTGAAGCTTCCGTTACATGATGAATTTGATAAAACTAAAAAAAAAAATGGTGGAAAAAAGAAGAATCCTTTGGACTGTCATGATATATTGCTAGTATATGTTATGGCATTTTCTATTGAAAAAGAATTGTGACACAGAAAATTATGGAGGAATGTATGGAAAAACTTTAAAGTATGATAAGAGGGTATGGAAGTGATACATATAACAAAGTGATATGGGAAGGTTTGTCTATTTATAGATATTAGGGGATTTGATTGATCATAGTTTGTTGGATCCTTACACTATGGCTGTTATGGTATTAGTAATTTGGATGAGAGAGATTTAGACGAAAGAGTTTCTTCGACAGTTTGCCTACTTAATTCTATCCTCCATATTTCCTTACAAGAATTTTATTTTAATTTGGTGCGTTAACAATGTATGGAATTTTTACACTAAAAGAACAAATTTATTTTTCTTTTTCGTTATTTAGTTTTCCTTTTCTAATATGTTTGCGCTGAATTTTAATTTTTCGCAGTAATTTTCCAACAGTCATTTCCGAATTTAAAAAATTTGCAACCAAAAGTTCATCAACAGAAATTTATTTCTGTCGAAGAGGCACCTTTAATTTCCATGAACAAGCATCTTCGCACCTGTTGAAACCTCAATTGGTTGGCTATAAATTTAGAGGCTTGGCTTCATTTTTTTTACCACCAAAATCTACAAACAGTCCCCTCTTGTCTGCATTATTTTTCAACGCAAAAAGTAAGCATCAAGCTAGTTTGATTTGCTCCGTCATTTGAGTTCGGCGAAGTTCGGTTATTTATTGCCGCTATTACAAAATAGATATTTCATTCTATCATAGGAGGAATTAATCCAAAACCTTGAGCAACAGTGGGGGAATTAAATTCCTTAAGAACACACAAGCAACTTGCGGACTCGAAATTATTTTTTGTGTCTGTTTATTGAACTTAAATTTTGTTATTTGCTTTTCTGATTTTGAGCACAATTTTACTAACAGACTTATGCTGTAGAAAATAAAATAATAATTTAATATAGTTTGTCAAATTATACTAATACCGTTAAAATTCTTTACATTATCAATGCAATAATTTAGATTTCCTTAAAATATTATAGTATTTATCATACATTAAAATTAATTTATTAGTATCATATTTATTGTTATTCGTACAACCATTCGTGTTGATAGCAGGTCAAGTTTCTAATATGGGGCTTTCGTTGCTTCAATTGTTTTGGCATAAAGTTTTTTACCTGCCGTTAGAACAAAAAGACATTCGCAGGCCACTTGTGGAAATGAGTGTTAAACGGAGGACATTAATTGGTTTGGTAACATCTCCTCATCATCTGAAAGAAAAATGTCAACCAAACTATAGCAGTATAGCTAGAGATCTAATTAGCGAGCTTATTTAAAAAGAGTTCAACTGAATAATTCGAACAAAGTATATCTCAAAAAATAAAAATATTGATATGTAAATGTTGTTGAATCCCTAGAGAAAAGGAATGCCTCCGTATCAATAGCCAAGGAAATAGGAGCTCGTTTGGATCGGTAAAAAAAAAGTGTCTTTTCAGCCGAAATAGCTTTTAAGCCAAAAAGCAATAAGTCGGGGTTGCCCAGCTTTTTGCTTTTGGCTTGTTTTAAGCAGTTTTTAACGTATTTTAACCATTTTATAGCTTAGCCAAATACTAAAAAAAGCTTTAAAAAACGTAAAAGCTGATTTGATCAGCTTAAAAGCCAATCCAAATACCCTCTAGATATTACATATATTATTAATTTTGGAGGTAATTGATGAACCCTAATCGGCAGAGGAGATTGTGGAATTGAAAGTCTTAGAGAGAGAAATGAAATGAAAATTTTCTCTTGTATCTTTGTACAGTGTATTCACATACATATATAGATGATGTATCAGCTAACTAACCACCTAAACTAACTGACTAACTATATAACTGATTGTAGAAGATTCTACACAACTATGTACATCTTCACTATCATATTGTATTCTCATTACTCCCCCCTCAATCTAGGCGGTGCAAATATGTTCAGCACACCTTGCTTGCTTACAAGATATTCATAAGGTGGTCTTCCTAATCCTTTTGTTAGAATGTCAGCCTCCTGATCTCTGGTTCCCACATGTTCTGTCTTTATCAATCCCTCCTAAATCTTTTGTATGATAAAGTGATAATCTATTTCTATATGTTTCGTTTTTTCATGAAATATTGGGTTGGCTGCAATTTGCAGTGCAACCCTGCTATCACTGTATACTTCAATTGATAACTCTACGTTTGTCCTTAACTCCTTCAGTAGCGCTGTCAACCATATTACTTCTGATACTGCGCTTGCCATACTTCTAAATTCAGCTTCAGCTGAACTTCTTGACATTGTGTTCTGCTTCTTCGACTTCCATGAGAGCGAAGAATTTTCATACTTCACTAGAAAACTTAATACTGATTTTCTTGTGTTGGGACATGATGCACAGTCAGCATCAAAGTATACACTCAACCTGTTGCTGGTGCTCCTGCTTAACAGGATTCCCATTCCTGGTTCTCTCTTAATGTATCTTACCACTCTCAATGCTGCATCCCAATGAGACTTCTTAGGGCTCTGTAAAAACTGACTAAGTGTTTGCACTGAGAATGCTATGTCTGGCCTAGTTAATGTCAGATACAATAACTTTTCAATGAGCCTTTGATATTGCCCAATGTCAGTTAACAAAATATCATTCTCAAATCTTGTCAGTTTATCATGTTCTGGCACAGTTAACTTTGCATTTGGCTCTAAAGGAGTCCATGCTGGATTAGCACCTGTGAACCCTAACTCAGAGATTATCTCCAATGCATATTTCCTCTAGTTGATCAGTATACCTCTTTTTGATCTGCTCAATTCCATTCCAATGAAAAACTTCAATTCTCCTAAATCTTTGATCTTGAATGCTTGGTGCAAAGAGGTTTTGGTGGCTTCAATCAGTTGTAAATTGCTTCTTGTTACTAGCATTGTCATCCACATAGACTAGAATTACTATAATGTTTGACCCTTTTTGTTTGATAAACAAAGAGTGATCCAGACTGCTTTGATGAAAGCTAGAAGTGCCTCTGTTAGCTTGAGGTTCCGTTGTCTACTAGCTTGTTTAAGTCCATAATGGGATTTTACAAGTCTGCAGACCATACCTGGCTCCCCCTGACTTGTAAAACCCTGTGGGATCTCCATATAGACTTCATCATTGAGGTATCCCTGTAGGAAAGCATTATAGACGTCTAGATGATGAATGAACCAATTGTTTATAGCAGCAAGAGATAGAACAGTCCTGACAGTAGCTATTTTAACCACTAGGGAGAAGGTCTCATTATAGTCTAACCCTTCCCTTTGATTATATCCTTTAGCTACCAGCCTAGCTTTGAACCTCTCTATCAGACCATCTACTTTAAGTTTCACTTTGTAGACCTATTTGCATCTTATAGATTTCTTTCCTGGTGGTAGCTTAACTAGTTCCCATGTGGTGTTCTCCTAAAGAGCTTGAATTTCAGTCTGCATAGCCTCAACCCATCTCTTATCTTGAGATGCCTGCTGGAAATTTTGAGGTTCTGTGATTGTGTCACGACCCAAACCGAAGGGGCCGCGACGAGCACCCGAGGCCTTACTCAATCGAGTACCAACGTAACATATCTTTCTTATCATACTATCATGGGTAAATGAGCCAGAAAATCCGTCATGAGATAACAAGAATACAAATATAAGGGAATACTCAACATATGATGGCCCAACATGATATAGAAACTTATACATATGACATATGGGCCTATGAGGTCGACATGACCATTTATAAACTCAAAATATAGGCCGACAAGGCCATACAAGTATCTATACACCTAACATCTGTCTACAAGCCTCTAAAAGTACATAAAATCATAAAGGTCGGAACAAGACCCCACCATACCAATCAATACATGTCCAAATCATACTGACCAAATAGGCAACTCCGGAGCAAGTGGAGTGCACCAACACCTTCCGCTAATAGTCTACTAGGAGGAATATCAACCTATCTATCGGGATATGCAGCATGAAACGCAGCGTCCCCAGGCAAAGGGGACATTATCACACCTTCTTTTTGCCTACACCCTGCGGAAGGGTGTATAAGGGAGTTTTTCCAATTAAAGAACAATTGAAATGAGATTTATTTATTTAAAGATTCAGAGTCTCCACTTGGGATAAATTATGGTGTCACAAGTCACCGGTTTTGAATCCCGAATCGAGGAAAAAATTGACTCAGTATTACAGTCCGCGAACATAGAAATTCGGGTAAGGAATTCTGTTAATCCGGGAGAAGGTTTTAGGCATTTCCGGATTCCGTAGTTCTAGCACGGTCGCTCAACTGTCATAATTGGCCTATTATCTGATTTTAATACATTTTGAATCTATGTGCAATTTTAATTTTTTAACCGCTTTTAATTAATTTTAGGAAAAATTGCAACGTCATTTAAAATATGTATTGAACCGCGTCACATAAATGCACCCGCGGTCCACGACACATTTTATTTAACGTTGTTGAGATTTGGATTTGGGTCACATAAATGCGCACCCGAGTTTAGGAAATTAATGATTAAAATAATGCGCCTAAAGTGACTACGCGTTTGCAACTTTGCGAGGGCCATAGAATTTCAACTAAACGGCACGCCTCGAATTCTAAGGATCAAAACAAGATTAATTAAATGAGGGCCACGCAATTGTCATTTTTGTTTGGCATGGCGTACCTCAATTTCAATTTTAAAGGGTATTCAAGCTAGATTTAGTAGGGTCATGAACTATTTTTATTGTCTAATATGGCACACCCTCCAATCTACTTTTGAGATAGTCTAGCTTAATTAAAGAAAAGCCCAAAGGAACTCAAGAGCTGTTTTATGTTAAAGTTTAAACTCAAAAACGGAATAAGTAAACAAAGGTCCATTTCCTTTTTAAAACTGAGCCCAATAATGTACTATGACTAGGGAACCATCAACTTTAAAATGATTTGGGTCAAACCTCAATAACAGGCCTAATTCGAAAACATTGCAGCTGAAGGACGAGAACTCAGGATCGAATCCCTTTGAGCCTAAATTAATTCCATTAGAAATTGGGCTCCAGATGGCCACTATGTAGTCCAAATTAAGCTACTGATCTTTAACACTTTCTACACAACGAAATATCAATGGATGCT